AATATTTTGCTAATTTTTGTGATTTTTAAAAAAATTTCCAAAATTATAAATTCACATGCTCATGCCCATAAAAATATTGTGTATTTTCACTCAATTTTTTTTAAAATTACACTAAAAACTTATGAGGAACCATAAARGTATGTACCTATTAAATTATTTTAATGTTTTTGACCTATTGAAACATTAGTAATCGACAATAATTGAAAAAACAAACATTACTTATCCCTCAATAAAAAAAAAAAAAATATTATTATTGTAAAAGTTGGTTTTTCCGAAGCTTTTGGAAACTATTGTGAATTTTATTTTGGAACCCTCCCCCCCCCTTCCAAGAGGCAAATACCTACTAGATTCACTTAGAAAATATGTTGAAATATAGAAAACCAAAGCATTTTACTGCCCCTGAAGGCAACTTTAGGACAGTGTTTCAGAACTTTATGACAGACACAAAAAAAAAAAAAAATAATAAATATAACACATCTACACATCATTGTAAAATCAATACATTCATTTTTATTGTTCCGTTTAGAATCTAAAATATCTACAGTACACGTATAATAACAATATAATAAAACCATGGTTTTTACACTAATTTATTTAATGTTTTACTTTAAATTTAAATATACATATGTTACATAGTATAAAATAATTTTACACTAAAGAATCCTGCAAAGCTACACTTTTTTATTCCAAGCAATACARCAAATTATACATTGATTTGCAATGGTTAGCTATTTATATAGTATTATGAACTTRAATGGTTGGCCATAGCCCAATAGCCCATGCCCTTAATTCTTGATACTAACTGTCTTAAATGTTTTTGTTGGTTAGAATTTTAACACAATATTGTGTTAAGAGATTTTAGATGCATGTATTATTCTCCATTAATTTCACAAACATAATTTTTTTTTCTATAAAAACATATTAAATATTATTTATTATTAGGTACTATAGCAATTCTTGTTTTTCATAAAATATAGTATATTTTTTCTTATTAATTTTAACTTATTTAAGTATTTTTAAGCCTATATTTTTTGCCTTTTTTTGATATTCATTACAAAATTATTCTAAGAACAGTCTATAATTATAGGTAGGTATTTATATAAATATATTCTATGTAGTTAATGATAAAATAGAATGAGAATTTAGTGAGAATTAAATCATGTTCGCATAGATTAAACTTTTATTACATTCTTTATTTTTACGAGTAATTATACCAAATTAAAAATATTAAAAATGGCATAACTTCTCAGCAAATAGATACTATATCCACTTCGGCTAAAGGTAGTTTTACGTTATTAAATTATAAACTTAAGATCAATGATAAATAATAAATCATAGGTTGATAAAAATATTCAAATAGAAAAAAAAATAKAAAAACTACAAACACCTAAAACCTTTTATCGCCAAAGATAACTGMAATTGCACTACTACTGTCTAAAGAAAAATGTTTTCTGTATAAAAAAAGAAAATTAGACAATGTTATCGTATACGTGTTTAGAATCTGAAGTATATAAAATTATACGGTAAGTATGATGATTTAATCAATTATATAAAATAAAAATTAACAGATATAATTATAGAAAATAATTTAATATCATAAAATAGTCTAGTGTTGGGCGAGTGTTGTTTTTTAATTTCGAGTCGAGTCGAGTTTTATTATTTCAAGTCGAGTCGAATTCAAAATTCGGGTAGGTACTCGACAAATTTCGATTAAGAAAAAGTCGAGTACTCGACTTCTGAGTATGAAAGAAA